AGTAACTAGGTGGGATTATGTATCCTGAAAATTATTATATTGTAATTGCTTATTAAACCAGTAGTGAGTTTCTTTGTCTAAATCTATGTTGTTTACTTATAAGGAAGGGCTTTTATTTTGTCTGTTTATTTTGCCTTTTTTTTTTTTTTTTTTTTTTTTTGAGGCTTTCTTGTTGTGTGGCTCAAGCTGGTCCAGAATTCACAATCCTCTTGCTTCTACTTCCCTGGTGTTGAAATTATAGATGGACATTATAAAAGGAAGTTATTATAAATATATATTTTTTAATCTTTCATGATTGAAAATCATGATTTGAAATCTTTCATGATTATAAAATATTAACAGTCAATCAAAATGTAGATCGGTTTTAGGCCTACTATCAATTTAAATACAATTGGTCTTTAATATTCTACAGTAGAGCAAGTCTCTAGAAGTATTATCACTAATGCTCTAATGGTTATTCTATTAAATTTCTAGCTTCAACCCATACTAATTCTGTTAGTGAACTAATTACCAAAGAGCCTGGTAAACATTTTGACTTCTTTGGTGCAGCAAGATTTCTAGTAAAACTTTATCCAGGAATGTAAAAGTATTTAATTATTACTCTTTACAATAAGTTTAACTGATAAGGGTAAGTAGGTGGGGCAACCGGAAGTAATTACTAAGGCCAGTGGCATTTTTGTGGTTTAATAAAAGCAGAAGCTAATTATTCAGTTTTTATTTAAGTGAATTGATGCCCAAAAAGGAGATTCCTGCAGAGCAGCTGCACTTCTTCAGTGTCACCCTAATTTACCAAAGACACAACTGTCACAAACAGAACTTTTAAACTTGATATATAGCCACAGAAGTAAGGAGGCTTTTGTTTGGAGTGCTTGCTGGAGAACTCCTTTATACAAATCAGCCGGCAGATGACGGACAATGATGAAAATTTGATTCTTTGAAGTCATAATAGTCATTGAAACGTGTGAAATTCTGGTATTGAAAAGAAAGCAGCCAGCAAGACTCTAAATCCTGGGTGGTTGCAAAAAGCTTGCTGGGAGGTTTTTCTGCATTTTGACACCAACTTCCCATTGCTTGTTCCTTACTTCCTTTGTTAAAAAGAAAAAAAAAAAGTTGAATTCACACAAGATAAGTGGGGAAAGATGATAAGGGAATCAGTTTTTATATGAACAACTAATATTTTCTCATTTAACATTATTAGGATAATTATATTCCTTAACAGTAGAAGTAGGTTTCATTTTAAACCCAACTGTTTAAAAGAAAGAAGTTTTAAAATTCAGTAAATCTGTGTATTGACTGTAATTATATGCTTTCTTAGAACTTACATATATTCTTAAATAGTGAGTTGAGGTTATTTGGTTCTAACTTAATGGCTTCTTATATCTTACATGACTTAATTTTTTTCCTGATTTTAAAAAATTGAATTAAAAAGAAATTAGTAAAAAGACAGTATTGATATCTTTAGGTCATTGCTTTTATAAAAATAGGGTTTTTGAATGATCACAGGAGATGAGTACTTTAGTGCAAAAGTAGCAATCCATAGAGAATTCCATTAATTTAGCAGTTTAATTTACAAGTGTCTTGTTTGCTATCTGCAGTAGGTGAGTCACAGGTAGCATGTCTTAAACTGAGAAAGGGTATTATTGAAGACATCCTCCAAGTGTTTTAAGTGCTTCATTGAAATCTTGGAGTGGGAGCATTAGCCTGTTGGAATGCACGGTAAAGAACAGGTTCTTGTCAGGAGCTGATGCTGTTTGCATAAAATGATGAGAACAGTGACAGTGCATTTTACAAGTATGAGAAATAAGTTTGTCTAGGCTGAAAGCATGTCTGCAGGGACTTAGAAATTTTGAACTTCTGTGACTATTAGGTGTCTTAAGTATGTGAGCTGCCAAGCCCTTTTATTGTCTGTCCTGCAGCAGTTCAGCTGGGTTGCAGGCACTTAAATCTTCTGCAGGCAAAAACAGTGTCTCAGGACAACATGCAAGGGCTTCAGTATTCAGAAACTTCTTGCTTGATTATCAGTTTTAAATTGGGGGCATGTGTAGATAGATAGATAGATAGATAGATAGATAGATAGATAGATAGATAG